GGATTGACCTTCATCCAATTCTGCATTCATTTAACCTCCCACGCACTATATAGTTTTTTTTTAATGTATCGTTACATCACCACGCTGATATTATGCATTGTTCCAAACGTTCGTATGAATGTTAATAATACCATTAGTAAGGTCGTTCAACCTTTTTAAAAAGTCTAAAGTGTTGTGATCTCCATTCAACTGATTAGAGGATAGATAGGCAAACCCTCATAATTATTTTCTTGAATACTTGTATGACATTGCAAATTATTACATTTTATATAATTTGTAGCTTTTGTGTGTAAGGCGGTCTATTTATATGACTAGTGTTGGACTTATGGTGTCCTAAAAATTATTGAAACAAGCACTTTAAACTTCATGAATGTATTTTTTTTTTATTTAAAAAACAAAAATTGATTTTAGTCAACATATTATATCAAAAATGAATCAGTCAACTGTTTGCTTAAAAATCGGGTAAATCGCTCAGCTGCATAGTAGATAACATGTATCAAATGTTCCTCGTAATTGAGTTGGTAATTATAATAATTATAACAATTAATATCAATAAAATTGAATTTAACAGTAATACTAATAAAACAATTATATTTGATTTAAATTAAAGTTATATGTTTTTATATTATTCATAAATATTCAATATGTTTATGAGGTGTAAAGTAGTGCGCATAATCTAGTTATTAGTTAATATACTGAATGTGAGATAGTTTTTACTTTTCAAGAATTTGTGTAAAACATTTGTACCATTTCATTTAACGATCCTTATTATTAAACAATTGAACATTAAATATTTTTGTATATTTATAACTCACGATTTTCAAATCGATAAAACGTTTATCCAACAATTATCGAAGTCTATCGAAAAACTTACAACTACTTTTTAATTTTAAATTAATTAATCGCTGTGTATGTATTGGGTTTTTCCAAATAACTTTGTTGTAATATTAAAACTAACACTTAACTATGATTAACTATCGTAATGACAGTGTTACTTAAGTTCACAGTTACTTATTAATTATTACTCATAATAAGTGTCAATGTGTCACACGTAGTAATTATTTATTTAACTTTGAATAATTTATATAACGATTATCTACGTCACAAATTATTTTCTTATTTATCCTGTAAGTCATTATTCGAAATGTGTAGAAATATTTATAATGCATATACCAAAAATTATGATAACACCACACTTCTTGACTGTTATTAATTGAATACATGTTATGTATGTTTTAATAATATTATTAATTAGTCTCGTAATATATTTCTTCATAATTTCTTAACGCGATAGTCGGTGAACATGATCATGGAAACAGATCTAAAGGTTATCTAAAGAAATTATAAATATAGGTATATTGTGTTAGTAGAAAATATAATTACGTAAGGTTTTCAAATTTGGTCTAAGTTAGGTTAGATATAATATCTAATTTTATTATTATTAGCTATATATTAACTATTCATGTACTGCTATTCAAAACTAAATATTTAATTAAATGTTTATTATTCAATTATTTTATTAAATTTAAATATTATAAAATTAGCACGCAAAATAAAAATTAAATAATTTAAATTCAAATTTATATAGGCAAAAATATTATTATAAAATCGTTTGTAGAGTTCTATACTTAACTAATGCATCATATTTATAAATACACATTACACATAATATAATAATATTGATATATCAAATATAAATATTTACATTTTATTATTTCTCAATTTATTTGTAATTTACCTACAAAATGCTGATGATGTATATTGAACTGTTTTTTTTTTTAAAGCATGTTAAGTGATTTGTGAAATTCAATATTTATACATCTTGTAAAACTGACAAACGATGTAGTTACAAGAGTAGTGTCGCAAATTTTGAATATTTAAGTGTGTTATATAATAATTGTTTATTATTTTTTTTAAAAATAACTAAAATTTTATTTATTCTTAAAAATAATAAACTTTTGACTACTGTTCTAGTTAATTTTTACGCTTATATTCTTACATTTTATTTAAATAATTAGATTTTGTTATATAGGTATTGTTTAGATTGTATTGATACAGTCAAGCAATCATAACATTTTTATGAATTTTTTTTTTTTTTTAAGATAGCTGAAAGCGAAAGTGAATCTGTGAATAATATACCCTTCGCTATCATCGTTTATCGTAGTATATCATTCAATATATAATACATAAAAAATAATAGGTAATAACCAGGGCTAGGATTTATATGCAACAGCATATTTTTTTTGCGACTTCTGTGACTTCTGGTTATTGATTTTGTTAGTAATGTCTATGAATCACCTAATGATAAATGATGGTGTTTTTATTTTGCATGTTTTTACATATTTTGGATGAACTGCATATTATTGCATATTATATTGAATAAAATGAATATTACTGCATATTTCGATTGTAATAATGTGAAAAATGCATGTTTTATAGTATATTTCGTATTTAATTTTAGCCCTGCTGATTAAAGTATAAAACTTGGTTTTTTGTCAAACATAGATTTTATTTTTATAAATATAATCCTATGGTAGGTACAATAGGTATACGATAAAAGATCGAATAGATTGACGGAGAAAGATAAACATAATTATAAAAGTATGAACTTCAATATGAAATTCGAGATAAAATATAATTTGTCGGGTACCTATTAGTGTATTACCCACAATCCTACGTAGTATAGACCATTCAGCTGTCCACGCATCACCGTTTATTATAGAATAATTTTAACATAATAATTTATTATATATTTATATGTTTATTGTAATTGTTTAAACAAATGGTTCAGACCAAGTTTCTTAAAAAAAAAATCTTATAAAAATTTAAATGCATATTTTTGCATATTATTTTGGTAAATAAAATACATATTTTACAATTTTTTATTGCATACAAATCCTAGTCCTGGTAATAACCAATTTACAGGTATTAAGATATATACAATATATAATTTTCTAACCTCTTAAACTCTTAAGCCAGGTTAGGCTGGCTAGACTATCCTTCGGAGTGACGATTTTGTTTCCGATAAATGTCTTAACTACCATTCTGACTGGATCCCAGTGAGTAAAATCGAATATTGTGTATTCCATAGTATCCAATGGATGTTGATAATACAGGCACGCCGCGTCGGAGGCAGTTACTGTCTGAAGCATCCATGTCCTGTATTAAGGGCCTGAGTTAGGTTTTTAGGACGTCTTTTGACCCATCTACCCAAGTCCGGAAAAATCCTGCGCGTTCAGACTGTGACTCCACCTGTTGGACCAAACAGCAAGAAGAATGTCACGTTCTGATATCCATACTTCAACCTTGGAATCAATCCTATCAGGGTTATCAAGCATACTTCAAACTCTTTTCCATTCCAGCATTAGGAGGTCCATTGGAAGAGTTTCTGTAAGAATAAGGCTATCTAACTCTAAGAGTCGTGACGTTTGTATGAATTTAAAAATAATAAACATAATAGTAAAAATGTTCCTATTTAAAAAAAAAAATCGAGCTTTAAATTTTTGTACTAAAAAAAAAAAAAAATGTATAAAATAGAAGTATTCTAAAAAAATATATACACATTAAAAGAAATTAAAACTGAAATAATTTGGTTAAAAATTATCTGAAATATATTTCAAAACTTAAATTTATTATTTAATATATAAAAAATAAATTACAGAAATAATACTTTATTAAAATCATGAAAATGAAAAGTCTAATATTTTTAAACTCTAGGATACTTATTATATGTAATTTTTATCTTTTAATTTTATAAAAATTATTTGTTTCAATTATTAATTTTTATCTTTTTGATTCTATGACAGTATCAAAATAGTGTTTGAATAAAAATTTTCCTACTCTAACTTGTTAAATAGTTCATAATTTTACTACGATGATATCTGCATATGAACGATGTCAAGTTTCATTAAAAGTTAACTGTAATGCTAGCTTAGAAAGTTTTTTTTTTTGGTGTTGAAGGTTTGTATGATAGTATATTTGTGTAAGATGTGTTGCATAACCGAACTATCATAAGATTTTGACACAGTGTTAGAGTGTAAATATTATAAACAAAGCCCATAGTAAAACTTTTTATTTGAATTGATTTAATACGGATAATAAAGTTTAGTTTTTGATTTTTTCCATAAAATTTCGTTTAAAAGGTAAAATAGTTCTTAAACGAGGTACTTAATAAAAGTTAATTTATTATACATTTATAAAACTTAAATTATTTTATATAAAACTACCGTAAAAGTAAACGTTATATTAATAATTGATATTCTATAAATTTTAATAGAAAATGGAGTGCAACGGATAACTTTACAATAGTGTTTTTTGTTGTTCGCTTAAAATTTAAAAATAGGGTATTCTTCTACCTATAGAGTACAATGACTTGATCTTGAACATACCATTTAATATTATTATATTTTATATAATTCTTTTATTATATATACCTAAAAAAATGATTTTTTAACTAAATAGGTTATATCTATACCAAGTGAAAATAACAACATATAATTTACTATTTAATTTCTGATACTTGATAATACTCTACAGCGCCTTCTTAAAATAAGATCTATTTTAGTATATATTATAATAATTAATGAAGAGATTGATAATTATTTTTAAATAATAAATACGTATGTATTATTATAAGTATATTAAAATATTAATAAAAAACGATCATACAATTAATTAGTAATTGAAAATAGTAAAAACATATAACTATATATATTTGTTTCCAGATTAATTATTACAAGAAAAAAATATATATTTATACACAGTTTAGACACCTATATAATACTATACTTTGTATAAATACACACAAATCGCGTTACACAATATCATGTTCTTTAAAATTATTATTGATTATATTTTCAATATAAGACGCATTCCCTCTCCTCTCATTCCAGAAAATACGGTATCTATACCACTTGTGAAAAGTATTCTGAATACACACATTGTGTATATAATATATTGATAATACAATTTGTATTATTGTCACTGTAGCAGAACGCAATTGAATGTTATCGTCTGTAGAGGTTAACGTAATCGTATCTACTTAACGATTGTGAAGATGTTTTGCAGACTCAAGTCATCGGCCACTGCGATTGTTCTGCTCGCTGCAGTTGCTACTCACACTTTTATTATACCAACTACAGTGGTTCATTCCAATACCTCATCTACAATCCGTCCTGACATTAACCATCTCAATCCAGGTTAGTTAAAGACAAATCTACTCAATATAACCATTCGCCATTCCCGATGTGTATTTTTCGCTACCATCGGTCAGATTTTTTCGATTATCATACAGAAGAAATTTGTTTCATAGTAAACAATATTTTCTAAATAGGTAAATAAACTTACCAATATTTTACTCCAGTAAAAAGTCTTTCATTTTTGTACTTAATGATCACTATAAAACAAATATTTTAATATTTTGGCGATATTTCCATAACGTCATCATTTTAAATCTGACGCTGATCTATAATTGACCGTATATTTTTTTTTTTATTTTCTCTTGGTAATAAAAAATACAAATCTTAGTTCTGCCTTATAAAGTGACAATAATATTTTCATAATTTATAATGCATAAGTACTATCTATAGAATGAATCAATAATCATACAAAAATAAAAAAATAAAATAATTGATAGTTGATAAAATATATTGGCAGTTAACGTTGAAATTAAGTTATTTGTTTAATATTACCATTTGCGTCCGATAAATGTGTATGATTTTTTTCTCATAGTCTTATTCGTTTAATGTTTATAGTCTTAACTACACTTAAATGAAAAACTATCAATTCACATTTATTACGTAAAAAACTAATTTTGCCGAAAAAAATCCTTAACAATTTGTTCAATATTATTTACTTGAGATAGTTTTAAAATACGTAGGTATTATGATAATCTAAAATGATAAACATAAATACGCTACTAATATTAATACAATTTTATAGCTAAATGTGTATTCTATGGCATAAATATAATCATAGAATTACGTCTCCTAAATCATCACTCTAAAAATTTATCGTATGTATGTATACTGATTATAAAATATATCCAACTAATCCGGTACTCATATTAACATTCGTAATGTTGTGAAATCTTATTCAAATTATTAAAAATCATATTTTGATCTATTATTACTTAATATTTATGAATATAATTACCTATGTTATAACGATAATGCAATTAAACAATAAAATAATAATAGTCTTCTACATTTAAGTATTAACGTCTAGAATAGTATAATTTATTATTGAATTCAAAAAGTCATGCTGTTATAAATTTCAACATAAGGTCTAATTTATCCCATCAATAAATACAATTTCAAACAATTTATTGTGTTAAAATAAAATATATTTCTGTAAATGAATTTTTGACATAGATTAAAATTAATTAGTTTAAAATGAAGATAAATACAATGGATACTGGTTTGCTGTTTGGTCTATCACCTATATGTATAAAATTCCTTACGAAAAAATTGGTGATTCAACTACAAAACGTTGACATACAAAATGCTTTGTAAACAACTATTTATTTCCGTTAATTTTAAAATAGACGTTTTAAAATACTATAAAAAATAGACTTATAGATTATGTTTATTTTTATTCAATTATACCATAATTAATAAAATATTATGCAATTTAATATTTTATACCATCAGTCATGAATATTTATTTTGTATCTATTGTTATTCTTGATATCGTACTGAAAATTATGTTTTTTAAATGTAAAATATTTGTATTACTACTCTTACAAAACCACACATTTAATCTATAAATATTAATTATGTATTTCTACTTCACACTTGAGAATTAGTAATTGAATAAAAACGCAAAGAATGTAATAAATTATGAAACACGCATTATAACACAATATGCAAAGCTAAAACTTAAAAATTTTACATCGTTATTAAGTGACAAAGTTTTCTAATACATTTTAAACATATCTTATTTAATACATAGAAATACACATTTTTGATTCTAACATATATATATGCATACCTAAGGATCGGTGGCGAGTGTTTATGATAATATTTATGTATATATAAATATTATAATGTATTATCAGCTATTAATTTATTTTCAGAAAAGAATTTTACCATAGAAAATTTTAAGAACAGCAGTTCGACGTTGTATGCAAATGTTCACCGTTCAATTGATGAATTCCCTAGGGATTTCTTTACTGAAGAACAAAGACTTCACGGAGCCGTTATCGTTCACTTAATTTTGTCTTTTTATGGATTTCTATTCATAACGTTTGTTTGTCAAGATTATTTCCTACCATCAGTGTTATATATATGTCTAGGTATGAAATTATACATTAACATAAGTTTTAATTTTTTTTTTTTTTTTTAAAGTCCGAAAATATTTAGCTAAATCGATATGATTAATAACTTAACTGACAAAACATGTGAAATATAAAATTTCATAGTTAATTTTTTTAGTTTAAATCAAATTTTTGTTTATTTATGAGGATTTTTTCCTTTAACGACATTGATGCTATTATTATGATTTATTTAATACCATTAATACCTAATTCAAAATTGTATTATTTCTTGATATATTATAACAGTACGGCGTTGTGATTAGGTAATTTAGCTACACTACTGTCGATGATTCGTTCATTAATATCTCATATTATTATAACTTATAATATTCATTAATTTTAAATAATTTTTTGTTATAAAATATCGAAAAATATGAAGAAACAACATTGTTCATGTTAGATGTACCGCAAAATTATTGAAAATTTAAAGCATTCATACATATATATATATATATATATATATATATATATATGTTATAGCGTGTAAGGTGCTCCAGGATTCATATAAAACTCCCTAGTGACCTGAACAAAACGGTTCATAGGCACTCTATATAGTAGTTAGTCTATTATATTGCGCGTTGCATTATTTCTAAGTATAATAAGAAAACGATTTAATTATATTGTTATATTGTTTTAATGTCAGCTGCTCGGCTGCTCTTTCTTGCGTTTTCGAGCACAGACAGCGTCGTGTTCAGTGATGTAGCTACAAAAAAAGCGTATTCAGGAAAAATATTTTTTTTCCATCCCTATACAACATAGATTATATCATTTAAAGCAAACCTTTCACATTTATATTGATTATATCTATATTTGTGCATCAAACACTTGACAATCGCCTACAGCACCCTTATATCATATATGAACCCTTCAAATAATATTACGCCCCGAGATAACTGCCTTCGTTGGCCCTGTGTCAAATGTGCCACTAGATTCACATTGTACATATTATTATCGTTTTCAGACCTGGGACTTTCACCGGACGTTGCCGGGGCGACATTTATGGCGGCGGCAACTTGCACGTCCGAGCTTCTCGTCTCCACGATCGGAACTTTTGTGACCAAATCTGACCTTGGCGTTGGCACGGTGGTTGGAAGCGGTGTGTACAACACGCTGGGCGTGTCGGCATGCGCGGGCCTGGCAGTCTGCAGTCGACCAATCACGATAGAAAAGTGGCCGTTGATCCGGGACAGCGGCGTGTACTTAACTTCCATAGCTGTGCTGGCTGCCATCGCCGTTGACAACGTGATCATTTGGTACGAGGCACTGATCATGATCACCATGTTCCTTGGATATTTTGTCTTTTTGTTCACACAATACAAGCTCGTCGCGAAAATTGAAAAGTGGGAACACAACAAATGTAAGATCTAACATTACAATATTATATTTCTTATTATCAATATGTTATCAGGTGTGGTGACGAAGTCCGGTCATTATAATTGGTTGGGTTGTGGGTTAATTTAGGTTTTCGATAATAGATTACCACAGAAATTTATAATTTTAACGGTTTAGAAATAAACAAAGACTTGCGGTTGTTGCAGGCTAATAATAGACAAGACGATATTATTTATACAAATCTTAAATAAGTCAAAAAAATAGTATGAAATTATTACACACATACACACACATATATTATATATATTGTTCTTACGACTTATAGGGATTACATCAGTCTTTGAGTCTATCAAACGACTGCTATGCTGTAGCAAGTACACTTCTACGGAATCTCAAAACATCACCCTGTTCAGAAGTGATACACCAATACGTCAATATGGAACAGGTTAGTTATTAATACTATGAATTAATAATTAAGTTACGTTTTCTCTATTTAGAGTCAAACAGTGTAAAAGACGTACCTTTAAATTTATGAGAGGTATCATAATTCATTTTTAGGTGCATTTACTGTGAAATACTTATAGATTACTGGAATACGATTTAAAATTTGTAGCTAAAAAAAAACCATTCATTTTTTTGATGTGAAATATCTATTGATGTGTTTTGGGAGTAAAACCGAACTCGTTACGCCCCCAATTCGCTGTTGTGCGGCGATGGCGCTTATTAGCATATTCTCTGTTTTATTAATCGTAAATTATAATAATTGACACCTTATTTTTATTTTTTGATATGAAATATTCAATATAAAGAAATAAAAAATAATATAGATGATATATTGATGTGATAATATTTTATTTTTATGGTAAAAAAAACGTAGTTACACTAAATCTATCGAAACATTGAACATCTATTATCCAGCAATAGTATCACCATGGTGTTTATATATTATTATTAAATTTGTAACTTGGCCCCCAATTAAATGAATAATTAAAATTAATATGGTACTCAGTATATGTTAATGCAGTATGGGTACAATTTACGGATACATGGCTATCAATGTTCCTTACTTTGTGGATATGTTTGAATTGTGGCGAGTCGGATACAACACTTGGTGTATTTTAGTTTAATTATATTAATTTAATAACCTAATCGGTTTAGGTGTCTTTAGCTCGAGAAAATGAAAAAATGTATGATACAGCACTTGTTATTATTTCATGTGTTAAATATAATACTGTTATTATAATAACGTATTATAGTAGGCGGGATCGACAAAATAATAAAAACAAATTTGTTCAGCATGACTTATCAGACATGAATACGTGATTAAAGCTATTGTTAATATTTTTCTAAATCTCTAAAATGTTCGCCAATACGTGTGAATAATTAGTATAACTATATATTCTATTAAATAGTCGAACACCAGTTGCAGCTGCAAGATAGCGAACGAGCGTCATCAAAAATTACATTTACTTCGACCACGACAATCTTTGGCGAATGCGATCAATTAAATGCGAATGAACAAAGTAGGTTAAAAATATGAGATTACATGATATTATGTATATTTTTTTAATATTATTAAGCAAATATATATTTATAGATAACATATTGGGGTATTCAGGCCTTTTTTAAAAAAACCTAATCATAAAAATTTTACTTATTACACTATTAATAATGGTATGATGTATTAAATAAATTATTAATCATAATATTTACCTATACATTACTAATTAATGGTTATACTCACCTATTTATTAATTCTAATAAGTTGTTTTTGATTGAAATATTATATTTTTTATAAAATTTTAACATATAGGTTTAACTATTAACTATTATTATTTCAAAATGTTATCGGATTTGAATGTAATTTCCGATTATAAGTATTTATCATTTTTAACGGTCTAAAATATAACTGACAAATTCTTGAAATTTTTTCGATATTTTTTAATAGGTTTCTGTTAAACCTTTTTTCCGTATTATGACACAATAATATATATTATGTTATACATTTATACACCTATTACTATAGTACTTTTCACTTTTCAGTCTAAAAATAAATCGTTTTATGCAGCTTATTTACCTCAGTCGAAATCGCCTTGGAGTAATTTGTTGTCGGTTGTTTGGTGGACGTTTTGCTGGCCAGTTAACTTTATCATGTGGATTACGATACCAGATTGCCGGGCAAAACGGGCAGTATACCCTGTCACGTTTATCATGTCCATTTTATGGATCAGCGCGGTCACATATATTTTGTCATGGTTTTTAACGATATGTGGTAAGAAATAAGAATAAAAGTATAACGCATGTGCATGTGTTCATGTTTCATACATTTGGTATACCTATGTTATATATATTGTTTGCTGTGTCATAAGCTCACACGTATGTCCAAGGCTAAAACGAGAATCACATATTTTGAAATTTTATGAAACTTAAAATTATTATATTATATACTCGAAACAATTTAATAATAATGTTTAAAAAATTAATCAATTTCTTTTGAACGTAATACAATTAATTAAAAATAAAATTGTCTTAAAACACATTGTGCACTTAACCTTAACCATCGATAAATTCTACAGGAGCGTCAAAACAATAATTATTTTTTTGTCTAGTAGATACAATATTGTTGTACCTATTTTTTATAGCTGTTTTAAATGTACACAATTTCTATTATAATAAGTATTATTGTTTATTCTCATAAATTCGTTTTATGTGTTCTGGCTTCTGAGGATCAATTGGAGATTAGAATAGTTCAAAGATGAATTTAAAAGTAGTTAAGCCACTAGAGATAATTAGACTTAATTTATATTATCATATTTTGGTTAGTAATTATATAAATATATCTATAAAACTATAAGATATAAATAGATATATTTTGTGATAGAGGGAGTAGCCAAAAATAAATTTTCACTGAAGTAAAAAAATTCTTATAATATATTCGCATAATACTATTTTATTATTTATATTGAAAATTTGAAATGTTTGTTACAATAATAATAATAATATTATATAATATACTTATTGCTTGGTTTTATATTATTTCATGCTACTATATAGGTGATACGTTTCACGTCAGTGACGTTGTCATGGGCATAGGAGTTTTAGCAGTCGGCAGCAGCATCCCCGAAGCTGTTTCGGGTATAATAAACGCACGAAACGGTAAGAATTAACAATTTGTAACTATAACATTTCAGTAAGTTGAAACCGAAAACTCATAACTAGCTATTACATATCTTTGACGATAGGGTGCTATTCCAGTAATCAACTTTTGACTATCACTGCAATATTTTATTTAAAATGTAAGCTGTAGTTAACACAGTTTATTTTAATATAACCAAATAATTGAAAATATTCGACTAATTCGACGTATTGTTATGTGGTTAATGGTTATTACTTCAAGATGACTAGTGAAATAAGTTTACCAATGCAATAGAATTTAACTTTGAGAATATAAATATAAAATTCAGAATAGATCACACAGTCTACATGAAACAATAGGACAAAAAAATCCTAGAAAAAAGCTATGGTTGTAAATCAATACAAGAGGAAAGCCACAAAAAAAAAACTAGCTTAATTATTTATAAATATTAAACATTAATTAATTAATAAAAGTATGTTAGTATGTCAGTATGTGCGTGTAAAGTAACGACCGGTATATCGATGTTAAAGTATAATATGGTTATTGGGTATCGTCGGTTATAAAAACATCTACCCTTATAAAGAGGACAAGAAATGTGTTTTATAAATCACATATTTAATAACTTTTGCAGGCGAAGGCTCTATGAGCATCAGCAGTGCACTTGGCTCTAACACAATGGATATATTATTGTGTCTGGGTCTGCCATGGTTTATCAAGTGCATATTACCAACATCGATGAATGGCGGACCCGTCACATTGCAAACCGACACCTTGTTCTTTAACTGTATGTGCATGATCGCCAGCGTAGTCATTCTTAATGTGGCGGCAGCAATCAATGGATATAAAATGCACAAACCATTTGGAATTATGTGCTTTTTCGGACAGATAGTTATTATAGCGGCATTGATAATCAACGGACTTAACGTCGCCAAAGACGATGGAACTGTACGGCGCAGCTGATATTTTTGACTAACTTGTTATATTTTACTGCTGATAGTAAACGACAGTATAAAGTACATTTAACTGTTTAAGTGTAATATTAGTAGTTTGATCCGAACCACAGAGGTCCCGACAGTCTTTCTCAATCGTAGAAAGAAGGGTAATCTGAGGCTCATTCTTTGAATGACCCGAATTTATGTCAATTTTCACCTCTTGACTGTGAAATTTTTTCAATTTTTTTTTTTTTTTTAAGGAAATTTTTATGGAGGCTACAAATCTTATTGAATCTATACAATCTTCAAGATAATCAATTTAAAAATTAAGTCAAATTAGCATACTATTTTAAACGTAAATATAAACCTAGCACGATCCAAGTATTCCCACTCTAAACTCTTATACATTTGTATATCGACGATATGTTACTACAAATACTTTATTAAAATCTAAAAGTTATAACGTATACTTAATACACACATATTTTATTAACTAATTAATAAAAATTGATTAACCATATTAAAAGCTAGTAGAATGACAAAACTTTTTACCTTGATGATGTATATTGAAGTTATAAGTCTGAACTCTGGAGCCGAAATTTAAGTACCGTTAGCCTCAATAGATTTATCCGAGCCAAATAGCATCAAATAGATCAATTTTTACACATCAGTGGTTTACCTAATAAAGAAAAGGTCATCAGATAAAAATATATTTTTAAATTTCTAGGGCAGCGCCCCTATTAAAGACTTACAATTTGGTGCCCGAGCGATTGCCCCCCCCCCTAAATACGCCTCTGGCTCTGTGTATTACAGATATTATGAGGTTTAATAAATTTACTCAAAATGTGAAGTTTATAGATAATGTCATAAGATCAAATAAAACCTCTGCCTATTAAAAATTATATTTATTCACATATAGATGAGTGTTTTTATTTTTATTAATCATTTTATTAGTTTTTATTTGTAAAAAAACTATAATTAAGTATACTATATACCAAAACCTCTGAATGTTATTATATGATTTGAAACAAAAGATACATTTATATATAGTTCCCAAATAATAATTGGTGGAAACGGAATTTATACCTTTTTTGTTTTGGCGGAAAAGGGCTATGTGTAAATCAGAGAACCGGTATTTTGGCGAAAGCAGGCCATGCCCGATCACTGGTCAGCACTTTAACTTACAATGTTCATGGAAATATCAAAGAAATCCATTCTAGGGTGCGTTCGAATATGATTAGTTTGTTATAAGGACAAATTCTTCTTCTTAGATTTTTGGATTCTGAACTGTGAATATAATATTGGGTTTACAATGATGAATGTTTATTTTTACATTTATTTCACATCCTATTACCTGAAAAATAAAATAAATATTTTTATTATACCCATATTACTGCATATTATGTATGCATTAGAAATCATTTATAAGTGTTACCTGAGTACAGGGTAATGTAAAAAGATATTTGCAGGCTAATGTAACAAATAGTACACAACTAAATAATAAGCATTTATTATATATTATATTAACATCTTATTATTAATGATTAACAATTTAACCCTAATGTCGACACTCATTTAAAGTGTTAGTCTTATACAATATACAATTTATTAAAATAATAAAACATAAAGTTTTAATTTATTATTAGGGTTTGAGTAAACGTAAAGTCATTGACAGTCCTCTACAATGTACAAAGTAATAAGTATAAATTATGAATGACTAAAAACCGGGAATTTATTATAATTCATCAACAATTATCACGGATATCAAAAACATTGTTCTGTGCAAAAACCTAATCAAATTGTGGAATAAACCACTAGGAGCACTGCGTGCGTGATAAGGATGCCAAAAATTTGCTGCCGGGAAGCTCTTGTGATAATTTAGAATGAACTGATTAAAGATAACAATTCACAATTTGACATTTATTTTATTTAAAAGTTTAAAACCCATCTTACTATCTTATTATTTTCATTCTTAATCTGCGACTAATGTTTTTAAATATGGTTTTTGATCGTAAAATTGTGAACTGTGAATTTAACTGAAAGACGTATAACAAGAATTTTTATTTTGTTTTTACAGTATCTTTGTTACTATTGTAAAATTGAGCTCTTATAATTAATGCTAAACATTTAAGATGAATAATCTGTCAAATAGTGAAAAAGCATTTAAACTTTTGAATGGTATTGTATGTTTGTATAAACCAGCTGGAGTTCATCTAAGTGGTTGTCGTCATTCATTGCTGTTAAAGTTAACACAAGGTAAATGCAATTGACCAACAACAAAGTAACTTAAAAGAGACCTGAGTATGTATTATATTATTATAGAGTTGAATTTATGCGGTGTTAGATCTCCAGAAAATCGCGTTGTCATTTCTGGGGATACGACAAAAGAACTTAATGTAAAATTAGAGCCCAGTTATGCAGACAATGTACTTGTCGTTGGTCCCAGGTATCAAACCCAAGATATTAAATGTATTTGGACTACTCATTTGGGAAAGCGTGTGTCAGGCGTTTGTGGTATGGCTAATTTTAATATTTTCACCTTCTTATATTGTCTGTTATTCAATTTAAATATTGTTTTTTAAGTTGTGGGACTGAATAAAGGTACCAAAATGGTAAGAAATCTTCAAAACAACTATCCATTGCGAACTTATCATTTGCATGGGCAATTAGGAATTATGACTAAGAATATGCACATTGATGGTCAAGTTATTGAAAAGGGACGTTTTGATTTTGTGAAACGTGAAAATGTTGATAAACTTATGTCTACAATACAGGCATCAAATCAAAAAAAGATGTTTGAGTAACTACATTTTATATTATGTAATCATTTGTTTTCAAAATTATTTAATTATCTTAATGTACTTACTGACATTAAATTTTAGGTTGGCTAATGTAGATACTCAAACTCAAACAGCATATGATTTGGCTACTAAAGGATTAATCCGACCAGCATCTTCTAAAATTCCTTTAATCTATGGAATTAAATGCATAAGTCTAGATTTACCAAATTTCATCATTGGTAAGTATTAAAATTGAATAAGAACTAGAGTACTATGATGTCTTTTTGTGAAAATTAATAAAATACTGTGTTTATATCTCTTTTAGAAAAATCCTTTTAGAATAATAAAAAACTAATTTACATATTTAAAATTTGTTTTTTTGCTATTTTAAGATAGTGAAGATTTGTAAAAAAAATTCTCACAGTATAAAGTTTTGTATAATGTTACTATAGATTCGTAAGAGAATGTCAGCACAGTATTTGTTTTTTCACTCAGACTTGCATACAATAAAAATATTTGTTTTTTTAAATTGTTTTTATAATTTTTGAGTAATCTTGGAGTAAAACTCCCAACTTGAAAATTAATTTAAGATAATATTTTTGAGAGTTTTTCATAAACGCAATAAAATGTTCTAAATTTAAATGAATAATAAATTGTTTCTAAGACAATATTTAAAAACATTAATAAGTCATACCTATCCTCAAAAATATATAAAAAAAAAAATGGATTTTTTTTTAAATTCATGGAGAAAATAATGAAAACTAATAGTGTGCTAACATCTTTTTAAAAATAAATTTTAAATGCTATTTATTTGGTTATATAAAACTTGGCATTTAATTTAAGTATTATAAAATTATATAGCTTGTACACCTTATATTTATTTTATTTTTCAAATTTCAGAAGTTAATGTTATTAATGAATATGAGAGTTATTTATTATCATTAGTACATGAAATAGGACTTAAGTTGAGATGTTCAGCGACGTGCACTGCTATACGCTGTATAAGATATTCATCATTTACCATTCAACAAGCACTTTTAATGAAACATTGGAATCTTCAATTTGTGTTAGAAAATATAAGGGAATGTAATGCATCGTACCAAAAAATGAGTAAACTACCTTCATTTATTACTGAACAATCCTATTTTGAATCTAATCAAAAAATGACTGGTATACAATAATTTTGGTAAGTTACATAATTAGTACTTAAAAGTTCATTATTCATGTTTCAATGTATTATCTTTGGATAGATAAAACCACTTAATTTTTATTCAATGAAAAGTTTTTTTTTCTAAACTCAGTTTCTATTATTTCTTAATAATAGTGCCAGTTTAATAATATTATTGTAATCCTATGTCTAACTTATTATCTAGAATCATGCTAGACCATGGTAAAAGTATTTAAAATTTAAGGTGCATACATACTTGTATAATAACTTCTAATGTTTGAAAAATAAATTATAATTATTATAAAATTAAAGTAAACTTGATAATTTGAAATTTAATAATTCAAAGTAAATTATCTGTTCTTTGAGAATTTAAGAAACAATACTTCCATATAAAATCGGGTGAAAAATGTAGAGCATACCAGCTGTTTATTTTATGGTAACTTAAATTGTCTATCATTGAACTCTTAGCAATTTGATATTGTTTTACTGTAGTTTAGAATTCAAACCAAACATTCTTATTTTTATCTTTTTTCCTCCCAATTATTAGTTTTGTTTTAATTTTGTTTTAATAATTATAAAATAGGAATAAAGTATTTTCCTGAAAAATGTTCACAGCGAATCTAAAGAAACCCATTGCAATTTAATAATTTATTTAAATAAACAATGATTAATTGAACATTGATTATTTTAAAATAAAATTCTTTTTTATGTTAATTATATATTGTATAAATAGTAAATACCTATTCAAACATATATTACATAGATATTTACATTTTTTATTTTTATTTTGAATTGCTTTTGGTAATTTAAGCATTTGATAATTCAAAATTTTTCAAAAATCTTTCTTGTCCCATCAATTAATAGTATTTTAGTATAATTATATTTATATATTTCATTGATTAATCATTAAATTTGTTTGTGATTTTTGATAGGTTCTTATCAATATGGTGCTGTGTATATGTGCATAATGCATACAGTAGTGTCTTGCTTCAATTCAAGAATTAATAATGAAAAATTGTGGAAATTGGATTTTTTTCTTTGTTGTTGTTAAAAATTCACATATTTTATTTTACCTACCTATTTCATGTTTATATAAAATAATAAAATTGTATATTTATATAATATTTTGAATACCGACTTTATTATTTATATAATTGAATTACTTGTTTTTATTTTTAAAGACAACTTAAAATAAATTGTTTAATATATTGATATTATTTTGTATATTAAAATTAAATAATTATAGTATATTAAATACATTTAAAAAGTTAAATAATTTATGTACTAAAGACTTATAAGTATAAAATGCAGTGTTTAGGGCAAAAAAAAAAAAAAAATAATAAAATAAAATATTAAGTACTATTAGTTAAGCTATATAAAGTAAAATATTTAATTTTTTTATATGAAGTATAAATTACATTCATAACTATTGAATGTTATAAAAATTAGAAAGGCTTACTGTGTATTTTTAAATAAAACAGTATTAAAATACTTATTATTTCTTAAAAATGTGAATTTTAAGTAATTGAAGCTCAGCATTTTTAATTGATTTTTTTCATCCTAAAAATAATTAATTTAATTAGATTCTTATGTAGTACATAAAATATATTATATAAATATATATACATATCATTAATAAAAATAAATTTCTAAGAATATGATTAATAGCCTATAGTATCATATATTAAATATCTATGCATAATTATACAGGATTTCAAATACTATATGGATTTAATTAAATATATGGTTACATAAATGTCATATAAATACCTGCTCCTTAAACACTATACATAAGAAATAAGTTTGGATACAATTACACCTTATGATTTTATGAAACGTGACTATTTTGTGTTTTGTTTATGACCATGTGAGTGCAATACTATTCAATTTTTTGCGTTAATTTTACATGAATTAGTGAATATTTGAATAAATGCGTGTAATACACATAATATATCATGTTTATAAAATATTTGTGATTTCAGAAATGGCTTATGAAATGTTGCTTTTATGTACTTTGTAAATAGTATAAATTTATATTGATCAAGTGAGAGCAACACTATTCAATTTTTTGCATAAATTTGATGTGAATATTATAATAAACACAATGTATTATGTATTAATAGTAAAAATAAATGAGTTAGAGTATAATTCATAGCCTACAATAGTGGTCACCAAATGTCAGCCCCCTAATAAATTTTATTAGGCCCGTAGACAAAGAATAAATAACAAATATTTAATAATATAATATGTTCTCATTACATCCAATTTTAAATTAATACCCATTATATGTTTAAAATATGTACTTATAATTTTGATGGCCCGCAAAAAATTTTCAGATTCCTAATGAGGCTCTTCAAAAATATTAATTGGTGACCCCTGGCCTACAGCATCAAATTCGAAATTTTAATTTTTGTATCAATTTAATTAAGTATAGTCATGGTCTTAAATTACCAAAAAAATACTTAAAAATAAATATAAAATACACTCTAACACTCTAATGGTAACCTAACCTATATGAAGACTATCCAATTCAACATGAATAATATCTTGAATAGGTAATATCATGAATAATATCCTTATATTGGCTATATTTTAATCAATGTAAAGAGCTTTTCAAAAACACCCAAGTAGGTATTAATCTAAAAAATCTATGTATCTAATGAGTCTACCATAGTATTCTAGAGGCTGTAACTGAAATAATCAAAACTAGGTATCAAACTTATATTATATTAGTTAGAAGTGTTAAAAATTGGCTTAGTAGGCTATCAAACGCTCTTTTTAAAAAAGAAAATGTCATTTGCAGTAACTAGTTAGGTTTCAATTTTTAACTGTAGTGCAAACTATGCTTAGAAAATAATAAATTAGTATTGATTCTATTCTGAGGAGAAAATTTAGCTGTAAAACTGACAAAATAAACCTAGAAATTTTGGACAACTTATGGAAAGTTTGCTTTCTAAAAATAATTTTTATGCAAAACTTTATTTAGACATTGCATTTTATATACACTTTTATAATATAAATAATTATTTGTTTTTGTAAGCTAATATCCTCAATAATTGAAGTTAAAACATTAAGAGAAAAATTTAAAAAATACTGTATAGTGATATTAATTGTATAGTTAAGTAGAATAATTATTATTCAGTACCTATTATATTCTATTTCAAAAACACGTTTAAAATAAATCCACGTAAAAATAGTGTAAAATATTTTGAATTTTTTTTTCAGATAAGTCTTAAAAATACATTTTTCAAAACATTACATAAACACAATTATATTGTATGAATGTATGTCAAAATGTCAACGAAGCAAAAAACATTTTATATATTTACATTGCGTCAATATAAGTCTGACGACGTTTTGTTTTAAACATATTACATCTAACTTCAAAATAACTTATAAATTATTACCTATGTAAATAAATTAAATTGACTTTAATTTTTCTTAAGATTTTTTAAGACATAACATTATGTGTTTGAAAAAATATACAGTCTAACATCGTAGATAGGTGTAAATCAACTGGAGGAGTTGCCAATTTGTTCAGCTTCCAAAACTGTGTCTGGCATTTTTTTATTGAGAGTTTCTGGAAACAGTAGTGCGAGTAATCCAGATAATAGAGCAGATCCGCTGAAGAGTAGTAATGGCGACAATTCACCGAAATAAGTAACCTAAACATAATGATAATCATAAAATAATATTTTATAGTATATTATGTAGGTATTGAAATTAAACATTTTACAGTCAATGAGCATGCTGATTTATTTAATCGTTTTTACACGTATCTATCTACTTAGCTAATATCTATTATTTATTAGGCATTAATAAATTAAATAAATTTAGCAACGATCTATGAGTTATTGTTATTAAACATGTTCAATGAACACGCTTAATACAATTTATTTTAATATTTTATAAACTAAAATAACTGAATTTAAGTTAATAAAATAAGGTTTAAATCTATACTTGAAAGTCTATTTTTTTAAATTTTTTTTTTTGGTAATTTAAATACCGATTATTTTTGAGCATAACACAATAGCGCACTTTTTACCTTTTTATATTCGAAAAAAAACTACACGATTGCGCATAAAATTAATTTAATTTTATATTGTTGAATTAAATGGTTATAATTTAAAAATGTATAGTTTAAAATCTGTACTAAATGTTTGGTCGAAACAATTTTTTTTGCTTAGATGTTTACCCTCGGAAGATGTAGAAGATGCTTTTGCTTATTTAACTGAAAATAGTCCTTCTGATAATTTTGAATTCACTAATTATATACTTAATAATTATAAATAATTTGATGTCGCTTTTCCACCGACTTTATGGGCAATTAAAACCTTTAATAGAGGCAAGAATTCAAAGATAATTAGGTAAAAGGTGCGCAATCGTGTTGCACTGTTATTTCTTTGGTATTGTGTTTTTGTAGAAAGGATCTTAAACATTTCTATTATTGTATACACCTATGACGTAATTTAATAAGTGATGGTGAGATCAGTGATTAAAAGTATTTTCTATAACAGGTACCTAGATTTACTTATACCCGAAGTGAGTTGTATTTTTTAAAATTGATTTATTGCCGGTACAACCATATTTTTTGCCGAAATTATATTTTATAACAAGTGAAACGTGTATTAAAATAAAATAACTAGGTGGTAGTCAGTACTACTTATATATTTTTGTAAACAACAATTATGCTATATTTTAAAACTTTAAAAAAAAATAAATATTTTTTTATATAAAATAAGGCCATGATTGATTCGTTTATTCCTCATTGTACGTCCCTAGGTGCATATATTAATCATAGGTATACGTACTAATAATGGAGTTTGTGGTGCAATCATCGAACCGATTCTGCCAAACATGGAGCATATACCAAGCAGAGAATGTCGAATTTCCGTTGGGAACATCTCGGCGGTGTACATATACAGTATTACGAAGGAAATGGTTATGGAAAACTTTCCAATCAGGTAAAGGAGTATATTTAAGATAACCGCGTCTAAAAATAAAACAATATTTGATCATATGTTGATGCCGGAAAATAATAATAGGTATATCATTACGATATTACCTACATCATGGGCAACAAAAAGTCAATATTAAAAAAGGCCACTAGGTATCCACAGTTTACTCCACCACAACCCATGACCAATAGGTGTTATACGAACAGTTAAGTACACCAAGAAGATAAAATACCATATTATGTATCATTTGAGTAGATACTATTATTATGTTCTATAAACTGGTTTAAATATTTTAGGTCTTTGATGTTAATAGTTTAGTAAAATATTTGAATTTTCTAATCGATAATTATTAAGTCTTCTGTTACTGAATTATATGTACAATGGTATATTAGGGGCTGTAGTCAATTTGCAACAAAACTAATCAAAATATAAACAACATAATATGTAATAATTATTAATTTGCATCAACTTTTTGAAATACCTATGTTTGTAATTTGCATTATTAATGGATAATTTATTAGAAATCCTGAAAAATTATTGTTATTGAAGTCTTAAGACTGACCAGAGTAGAAACCTACCGACAAACATTTGATTACATAGATACTTATTTTGACTTGTTTTGGTGCAAATTACAAACGCTATTTTTGACTCTCAACGATCGTGCAAATTGTAAATTTTCATATCAGGAGCCTATGTAAATAATAGCTTATTGTTGTTGAGCTTTATGATTCTCTGAAATATTATGCATTTTTCCCATCCCATCTATCTGGACCTGACAAGAAAACACCTGTAGTGACACGAGTATTATAAAGCGGTCAGAGAAGAATAAAAACCACTCGCTTAACGGTCACTGAATACTATTAATAATTACGTTTTGGGAGAAACGCGATCGAGATGCACAGACTACTGCACACCAAAAGCGTGGCGCATTGCGACTCTCTCCGGCCGCAGTTGTTCATGATTTTGATCACCAAAAACAACGCTGGGATTTCAACAAGACTGCACAGAATGAAGTTCCAGTACCGGTTTCCCACTATTGAACCCGAGCTCATCGACAGACCGTAGTATATGAGCGTGTTGATCATCCTGAGTATAATAATAATATTAATAATAATAATAATAACAAAAGTAATAACAATAATAATAATAATAATAATAATAATAATAATAATAGTAATAAACGATACACAGAAATATGGAATACTTTTGTATTAATTAGTACATTTTTTTTTTAGGTGTAATCGCTGTATATATTATTAACGGAGATACATTAAGATGGTGTGTATAGGTTATAGGTTAGGATGCACTTATTTTGTAAAGAAATATTTTCGTTTATTATTATTATTATTATTATTATGTAAACTAATATAATATATATAATATATTATGTAGTAACACAAATTTAACCATACTATTATAATCTGAAACTCTTTTATAATCATTGAAAATTAATTTTTACAGTGGTGTACCAACTGGTGTTGGTGAAACTATAATTAATCGAAAAGTGGTGGGAGGGGGGATGATAGTTAAGAAATACTTCAATATAATATTGATTCCAAATTCAAGTATGAGAATATCAAATGTATAATACCTATGCAGTGTTTAGTTTTCTCCATAGTTTTATTTGAAACATAATTTGAATAAATATATATAATAATATGATCTACCACAATATAAAATAATTAAAAATGAAGATAAATGATACAATGCAGGAATATAATTCATATGTACTTTACCAACAGAACGAACAGTTGATTACTCGTAATATTATGCGCTTAGAAGTTATAGCACGTTTAAACGCTTGCTGGCTTGAGCAGCTGGTCGTCCTTCTCTTCGTCATTTCCTCCTGTACACAACAATAGAATATAATAAACATAATATCAAATTGCCAGATAAAAGCGGCTCTAGGTTTTGTGTGGCATAAAAAAAAAAAATTTCGATGCACTGTTTTATCGAATAAGTACAAAAATATTGTTATTATTTTTTGTATAATAGAAATTATTAAGCAATATTATCATTTATAAATTCGTGTTTAATTAACACTATTTTACAGTGAAACCTGTAAATACTGGACACTCTCGGTCACTGAAATTTTGTCTACTATTTGGAGGTGTTCACTATTTAGAGAGGGGGGAGGGGTAAATGAAAAAATTAACATTACTATAATAAAATAATAATGTGGAAAACGAAAATTTTAATAAAATGTACTTAGGTATATTAAGATTACGATAAAAATTATCTTAATCTTGTCATAAAAATGTACGCTATTTAGATGTACTCGTTAAGGGATATTTCACGGTATACTTATTTATATTACAAGGTAAATATTCACTGTTTTAATAAGATAATAGTTTCGCACCTATTTAGACATATCTAATACTATTTTTTTTTAAATATATAAATTTTAGCTTTAGTCTTTGGTTATTTTTTATTTTATTTTTTAATTGAAATTTTAACAGAAATTCTTGAAATAAATATTAAAGTATATTCTTTATTACTTATTAATTATTATTATAATTGTTAATTGATTTTGAAATCTTTAGTTCATCACTTTTTTAAATGTTACTTATTCAATTAATATAGAAACTATATTTTTATTAACTACTAAGATATATTTATATATTAAACATTTTTCACAATGGTGAACAATTGGTTCCTAAAATGTACGTAAGGTCTTATCTTAATTGATCTACTCTAGGACCGCTTTTTATCGTTAGATAATCAAAATATGGATGTGTATGTATTTACTATTTCGATCTCTTTTTCATTGGTGCTTTTAAACGTTTCGAGTTTTCTCAGACTTTCTTCCGATAGTTTTTCTCCGTTGAGTTTTGCAATGTATTTCAATTCTTCTATTGCCTCACTGATTTTTCCAGCAGCGATCATCCATCGAACGGATTCTGGAATAATTCTGTGTACAAATGCCAAAGCATCACGGTTTATAGTAATGTATTAGAGTATCGAAGTGTACGCAAAAGGTTGGTTGTAGGTGTTTATTTATAGAATTGATAGTAATTCAAATACAATTGTATTTACGTGTAGGCCAATGCGAAACACAATCCCGGTAAATTAACGAATATCAAGAATTTCCTCCAGTCTTGAACGTACCAAAATAATATTCCAACTAATGCCTCGCCAATTGGATAGTAAGCGCTCAAAACGGTACTTGCAAAAACTCTGTGTCTGGCACCAACTAGTCCGATACCTATTGGATACATTTTTTTTTTAAAAACATTCTGTCCTATTAGTTACAAAAATAATATTGAATATATATATAATAAATTGGATGCTTGTAATAAATATGTGATAGGTATTCAAGCATATGTAGTTAAACTGCATTTTAATGAAATTAACAAAAAATATTAATTGATTTCGTTTTAAAATGTACATAGTGGAATATGAAAATTACAGCTATATTATTTCATTGTATAATTAGACATTTATTAGATTTTCTTAAATATTTATTTGCTATACATTTAAGATATAAGCGTACCTATTATTTGAAAAATACTCAAAAAGCCAAAGCGCAAATAAACGTAAATAGGTTTTTAATTATAATTTGAATTGTGGCAAGTTAAATTTTACTAAATCTTTTATTACCCATTATAAAAGTGGCGCTATAAACTCCACCGGAAAAAAAAGCATCGAAAAATTCCAATATCAAGAACATGGTGTAGTTTATTGACAGACCACGTAAAATACCACATGTTGCTGCTAATACGCTTCCGATGATAATAATATTTTTTCTGCCGTACCTTAACACAAATGACCAATTAATTATTTTTAGTTGTTATTAATTAAATATTTTATTAATCGTACTTGTCTGACAAAAAACCGGATATGGGTAACGAGAAAAACTGACCAATGTTGTTGAGGGTCCCAACGATTGTCAGTTTCCATTTGTTGTTTTTGCAAAATATGTTGAACTGTTTTAAAAAAATCATAATAGTCGCGTTAAACTATCGATCGATACTATATACCTATAGATATTATAAATTATGATTTATGAAATAGAATACTAGTATAGACAGTGCCATGATCATATAGGTGGAACTCATGGTTAGATTAGAATATGTAACTTAACACGGCATGTGTTTTGAAGAATTTTTTTCAAAATTTACAATCACCAAGAATGAAAAATGGGCTTGTTTCATAATTTCAATATAATTTTCATATGGTTTTTTGGCAATAATTTCTAAAATTCACCACTTGGTAATAATAAAATACAACATAAAATTTTATTATTTTTAAGTATATCCTAACGTGATGATATGAAACAAGATTATAGTAAATAATTATAAAAATGATAATATGAGTATTACCATCGTTATTTAGTATTTACCACAAATTTAATATGATAAACACAATAGATTTGAGTAACATACTGACGTGGATAACAATAAATATTATTTTTAAAAATCGTGTCAAGTATTATATATAATATTTTTGAAATTAAGTCAATTAAGATGATCTAAAATTTTGGGGGCTAATATACTTAAAAAGCCTACCAAAATTCCTCCATGTTTATCATTGCGGCACAGTAGTAGTATACGTATTATTATAATTTATAGTATAATCAAATTTATATATATGAATATTGTTAGATACCGCAGAAACTATCGTTGTCTCCCCACCGGATTCGAAGACGAATTCGTCGCACTGCACGCTCAAAGATTTGTTGAAATCACTGTCATCACATCGGAAGATGCGTTCGTCAGTTTTTTTGGTATCGTTCGGTTTATTTCGTACGTACTGTGAACACTTAGCCAGCCGATGATCGTCGTTATCAAATGGGACAGTCCGGTTCAGCCATACTGGCCAGTATTCGACCGTTGTCTCAGAAGTCGAATCGCATCCTTCTATCAGACATCTGCACGGCGGATAAAAAAGTGAAAAAAACAGTGATGATCATTTAAGAGGGAATATCCGATCATTCTTAATACTTTTATTTCCCTTTTAATTATTAATATAATACAACTATAAGTAATAACTCAAGTGGATTTTATTTTAAATTATTCAGCAAATAAAATTACTTCAAACATAAAAGTTTACTTTTTTTTTTAGTCTCGAGTCATTGGTTTATAATATATGTCATGCATTTAGAGCTTTTGATTTCAAAACATAGAATTGAGGTAGCATGTGCGATTTGTGTTTTTTGAACACAAGTTCAGATTTTAACTTATATATTTTAAAAGTATATTTAAGTATTAGTATGTACACCAATTTCCATTTGATTTATGAACTGGTAAAAATTAAAACTAATGTAATAAGAATAAAATATATAATGTTGATGATGTTTAAAGTAATTTTCACTAATCAAAAATTTAAAAAAATATGTTTAATATTATGGTTTTCATATTTAATTAATATTATGATATTAATTACATAGAGTTAATGAGATAATTAAAAACAACTATCGGATGTTTCCACTTAAATCTGGCAAGGGTAGTGTTTCATGTAGGTAGAAACAAAACAAAAAAACCTGTAGTTCATGTCTCCCGTAGTGAACACAAACGACATGGTGGACGACGCCGTGAATAGTAACGTCAGTCCGAGAAAAAATATATAAAGTTTTTGATATTTTCCAAATTCGCCCACCTCTTCTAATAACTTGTCAATGTCGATCGTTCTATAATAATAATAAGAATAATAAAATAAATAATTTAATTTTAACTAGTAGCTATTAAATAAAAAAAATAAATACAAATAATTATAGTTATAGAATATATTATTTAGAATAAAAGTAAATATTGATAGTATCTATAAGCGGGGCCGCTTTTAGGAGAGGGGGGTGCGACGAGTGCGATAGCTCCGAGTGACAGATTTTGGGGGTGATAAATATTAAATTTACATAGCACGGTTTGCGTTTGGACGAACTTATAAAAATTGTTATGTGTTTGGGTAATTAACCACTATCTGTGTGGATGAATGATTTTAAAATATTGTAATATATTAGAGGCATTTGGGTTACCTTTTTTTATTATCTTGTGATGTGTTTGTGTAGTATTTTATCAATCAAATTTCTCTGAAAAACTTTGAAGATTCTACGGGTATGATTGAAAATGTACGTTTTTTTTAAATGTCTTTTTATTGTTTTCCTTGACATTTTATTTAATATTTTATTATATTTTTTCATTTTATATTCTGAAGTTAAATTTTACCTGATATATACTTGTCTCAACTGATTCTAAATCTTTTAATTTATCTAATTTAATTTTTCGTCGAGTGTTGTGAATCGACGCAACCCATTTGCGCCCGAAGTATTTTTAATAAAAATGCGTTAAAACCATGCAACGTTTCCAAACTGTATTCTATAATACAATTCTGTATAATTTATTAGTTTATAACTATTATATATATATATATATATAAATATATTTTTTGCCAGTTTTAACTATTTTTAATTTGTATGTTATACTCTTATAGATACCTATTATCGAATTCAGAGTTATTTATTTATCATGAAATATTTATTATATAGTATATGTGTTAAAAAATATAAGTGTTAATTTTTATAATAATTGTACGTACTTAACCATATGTTATATTTTTTGACATTTTTTTTTTTTAAATTTAAAATGTTTATATTATTTATACTATTTTATGTGAGATGAATTTTGACTTCAATAAATAAAAATAAATTAGTGTGAATTAATTAAGTGTTGTTGAATTAAGAAATCCTGGATTTAATATTAGTTATTAACTAATTTTTTTAAACCCAAAATGTTGACAAAATTATAAAATTTAAACTATATTATTTAGACAATTATTATTTAATTACTATAATCTACTAATTTACTAATCTACTTAATCTAAGTGTCTATTAAGATATAAATAGTTCACTTTATGAATCACTATAGCAACATTGTATGCGAAATGGGCGCATATGGGCTATAAATCGGCAGGTAGTACCTATATTTCGGACGCATCTGTCCACATCCCTCGGGATGCAAATGTATTACTCTGGGGCACAAATTAACTGTAGTCTTGTGAATATATTAATATTTAATATTATATATTATATTAAACTGATAGTGGCCGCGGTGTTAACCGAACATTTCAAAACCGGTAGACATGGAAGGAACTGGAAGTGAGCGAGAGAAAAACATTATTTAATATTCTTATAATATATAGTAAAGTATAACTATAAAGTGTAATTTTAATACACAGATAACCAAAAAAAAAAAAAAAAAAAATAAAATAATAATAATAATAATAATAAATAATAATAATAAAATTAAAGTATGGAGTTAATAAATTACAATTTTTTTTTTGTAATGTTAACTAGATAGGGTACTCTTTAATTATTGAAAATTGTTAGAAACAATTTTTGAAATATTTTTGGATATATAAATGGAAATTCAAATAGTAGTTTATAACTTATGTGTTATTTAATTTTCTGTATTAAAAATAATCCATAATGTTAATAGATTTAAGAATATGTGGCTATAGCGTTAAAATAATTGACATTTTATTATTTGTAAAAATTGTTAGAGTAATTAGTGTTAAATTTAATATTAAATAAACGATGTATTTTATAAAAAAACTATTATGAAAAGGTCTATTATATAAGGTTTAATAACTTAGAAATTTTTCGGACAAATATCAATTTAGATGCATTAATATTGTAAAAATAATTATTTTTTAATTATCTGAAATTTACAATTAACAAAATATTTTCCAAAAAATCAGATTTTGAATAAATACGTAGTTAAGTTGGAAATATTTCAAAAACATTTTGCTTTGGAATATGAAATTCAAAATGTATATTGTCATTCAAAAAGATAAAATACTGGCTTAATGATAAAAAAAAAAAAATGTAAGAATGTAAATTTTTCGTAATTGTTTTACTATGACATTAATTTATGTGAAAAGTATTTTCAAAAACGCTTAAAAATTATGAATTTAGATTCCTAAATGGATCAATTGTAGACTATAACAAACACATCAAATAGTTGAGTTTTGACTTGGCTGGATACTTAATATTATATTGTCATCGGTAAATCGATTATTATTAATTATATTATTACACTGTTATAAAGTACTGTTTAAAAATAATTCAATTAAAAATATTGATCGACTCAGTATGAGTTAATAAATAATAATTATTATATAGTTAGGTATGAATAAATTATACATTATATTAAGTAATAGGTATTTCATGCAATTATATTTTACCTAACCATCGTAATTCGTAGTCCATATAAATAACGCTTGTGTATGATTAAAAATAAAATTATTTAATGACGATTCACTTCGTTGTCATATATATGGTTATATATTATAAAGGTACCACAATCTATATTTTAATATAGTCTGTGTATCTTCTAATTGTTAATACATTATCCATCAATTTAAATATAATACAATTACTGTTAATTTATGTCTTAATAAATGTGATGGGAAAAGTAAAGGTTGAAGTTTAGTGAATAATTTATATTATATACGTTTTATTTATTCAATTTTATATAAACAATAGCAAATATACATCATATATTTATATACAAATTACACAAAATACATTAATAAGTCTTTTCAAGTTCGCAATATCGGCGTTCATAAAGTCTACGTATTGATAACAATACAATGTACACTAATTATAATTACATATTTATTTAGTAATAATAATAATTATTATTATTTATTAAACATGATAGGTATGTAATGTAAAGTAATTAAATATAATATAACTACCAACGCGTCGGGGAAATGATAATTTTCGTTTTTATTTATTTTAAATGAAAACACATAATTAATGGTATAATATTATTATACACATGTGTATATTTAAATGTTTACGCATAATATTTTAAAATAATTTATTTGTTATGCAGATAGGTGGACACTGGGCAAGCATAGTTTACAAATGAATAGTACAGACATATAGTAAAGATAAATATAATGTCGCCGTCTCAGCACTATAAATCTCTAAAAATGTAGTTATTATCGACTTACATGTTTCGGTCTACAATACAATATTATTTAAAACAGGAAATAATCAAGTTTAATTTCATTATTTATTTTTTTTTTTTGCATATTTCGTTATTTTTATGCATATTCGAGCAAATATTTGATAAAATCCGATAAATTGCTGTTTTTCTATATTATTCAATTGTAAATTATGCTTGCTTACCCATATATATATATATATTATATTAAATATAGTTACAGGTAATAGTGGTTGGTAACATACGATTTGACAATGTACTATTTTATAACTGGAAATAAAAATAACATTTTAAAGAACAAAATTGATTTTTCAATATTAATCAAGACCCCACAGTAAATAATTTATATTTATAATTTTGTGCTTTGAGAGTTTTGTATGTGTACAAAATGACCCAAAAATTACTGATGCTACACTACTTTCTTGAATGAATCATACAAAGTTTAAATAATTTGATTAAAATTATATTTTATATTTTAGATACAATTTATGAATTTGCAAATAACATGATTAACATTTATGCATTACAAGGTCTGACTTAGGTCTAAGTAATGTACTAATAATAATTATTCTATTACACACGTACTGTAAAAATCACGTAAAATTGAATAAATGTTATATGTAACACCAGTTTTTGTAAGATAATAATAATTTTATTATCAGAGATAATTAGTTCCTCTAAGCTTAGATAACACAATATAATGTTATCTATAATAATAAAATAGGTAAATCTAGATAAAAATACTTTTTAATTCCGATAAAAAAAAAATTTTAACTATAGGTAATAATAATTATACTATTGTTATAAAATATTTTAAAACAATGTTTTTGACAATAAATTTCTAATTTAGTAATTAAGGTATAGGTAGGTATAATTAAAATTTACTTACAAATAATATTTTATCGAAGAAAAGTAAAAATAAAATAAAATATTAATTTGATAAATTATTTTTAAGCACTTCTTTACTAAAAGTTTAATTTTCAATGCCGATTGTAGATTTATTGAATGTCCATCGGAGTAATTTTTTAATAAATGATAAAGAGAAATTCCAGTATTCAGTTAGAAAAAAAGTGGAAAATCTCCCGCTATTGGTCAAATCGTATTTAATTATATACAAGAATGTATTGACATATTTCGTTTGATTCATCAAATTTTAGATGGTAGATGGGTTACTCTCGTGTTGTTTTATGAAACAGTTTGATGGATGTACATAGATATCAAGAACGGTAAATAAAGCTTATTATTAATTACCATAATATCGATAGAGACGTTTTCAGAAGGAGCAAAGGAATGACAAAATATTACACTTATTTGAGGAAATCAAACCTGCGCAGTCTTGGTCGAATTTCATCGCTTTTTTATTATTGAAATGGTTCACCTCTTGTCATTTTTACACACTAATATTTTAAAGTTTTTGTACCTATAATTTATATTAAAACATTCGTTCTCTAACAGATTAATGTGGGTACCAGATATCCTGGGTGATTATTTCAACAATGAATACTCATTTAGATTACATCACTTACTCTCAAAAACTATTAAAGGTTATGAAAATATTTATTTTTACATAATTTGAAGTAATTTAAAATTTAAATATTTTAATAGTTTTTATCATAGTCATTTTTTTAAATTGGATATTGCTTTTATTAAACTTCGACAAAATTTTTATATTTATGAGAATTATTTTATATTCGTTTTTTGTTTATTAAAATTCACATAAAAATATTCAGAATTGGAATGAAATTAAAAACGTATAAAGGTATTCTTCTAAAAGTGTAATAACTTATGATGATTAAAAATATCATGAAAATATTATTTTCAAAAATTATAGTTTTTTAATGGTTTCAAATTATGCAAACACGTGTTTTCAAATACGTTAATAGTTTATGAGATAATCAGTAGCTGCTGTAAAAAGAATCATACTGTATAGAATAGGTACATATTACTTTAATGTCATTCTTACATTTGACCATTGATATGAATAGTTTACATTTATTACGTACTGATAATTTAAAATGTTTATATAACAAAAATCACACACTGATATTATGTTATCAAATTGTTTACATTACTTTTTAATATTTGTACTCATAGTAATATAACAGAAAATGCTTAAATGTTAAGTAACTTGTAATAAACTTGTATTCAATAATCAGTATTTTTAATTAACTTCAGGATTGATGTGAAATTCAATATTAAGTATTAATGAATATATGTGATCCCATTATAGAATCATTTATATTTCGGCGTATACAGACATTTAAATTTATTAGAGTTCAATTAGATTTCCGCGATTGCAATAATCTTATGTTACAGTTTTTTATTGCAAATTGCTGTTTTCTAGAAATATATTATCACTATTTTCCTGTATTATTTAATAATTGTTAATTTATTTCCAGAAACTCACAATTCTTAGTAAAGGATAGTAAACAGTAAAATAGTAAAAAAGGTTATCATGATCTCGGAAATGTAGTTTAACTCAATAAAATTAATAATAATTGAACGATAAAATTATTTTAATTTTAACTATCATAGTTATAATAAAAAAGTACATTTGTGCTACATATTTTATTTACAAATTGTATTGAAATTGATTCAGAAGAAAGCAACTAATATATTGTTTTGATATGAAATAATAATAAATACATAAAATGTTCAACAGTTATTTATTTTCGTATTGTTTAGATGCATAGATAGTTTTGAAACGTAATAAGTAATTATTTTCATTCACTTTTTTAAAATAAATGTTTTAAATTTAAGTTAGGATTAGGAAAATAGTTATAAATTAAGTAATGGACATTTTAGTGGTTGGGTGTAAAGTGAGAATTACGTAAAATAAAATTAATCAAGTTACTTATTAACATTTTTTCTTTCTGTTATTTTTTGTTTACACATTTCAATTATTTTTTTTTATCGAACAAAAATATTATTAATGTTATTAATATCATTTGTCTTGATAATATTTATAAAATTTTCAAATGTTGATAAATCGTTGTCTTGGATTTTATTAAAAAACTTGTAGTTGAGTTTAAAAGGTTTATTAGCTTATTACATTTTTGAAATTCTGTTAAGCTTAAATTAAATTAACTTATTAATATACGTTTGATTTTACTTAATTGACAGTGACATAAGTACACATTTTTGTGTGAACGTTTTTTAAGAAATTTTAACATAAATTAGTAAAAGTAACTCAATTGGAATTGAATTTAAAATAAACTTATTTTTATAAAGTAAATGTTTATAAAATTAATTTGAATTTATAGAAACAAAAAATAAATTGCTCAACAATTAAAATTAATTAAAATTTTACTTATTAATTTGTTAATTCCTAGTCTATTATTTTAATATAATGTTAAAACTTAAGAAAACGTCGTCTACGTATTGTCTGTTTGACGAATGCATTTCATATAAAATTATATGTTTATTATAATTGATATTTTTATTCTTTTATTTTTGGATTAGAATGAACTGACCTATTATAAAATATAAAGGTACAAAGGAAAGAATTTTATCTATGGCCTTACATAAGACTTTTTGGAATTTTAATTTTGAAACAAATTATGGGAATTTTAAATTTTACAAAAAATGTACAGTATATAATTCTTATAATTTTATTTAAAATTAAAATATTAAAAAAAAATACCCATATAGCCTTTCCTGAACACTTGATAATATATCAATTTAGTTATATATTAATAATATACATTATTAATTTACTACTTTATATTGGAAATAATAGAGTTAAATTGATTATTTTGAAAGTAAAATTTGCTGTGTTGTGCTTTTTTTAAATGGAAACTACTGCAAATTTGGGTAAAATGTCGTCTTTTTAATTTTAATAACTAAATTAATTAGATTTAGCTAAAATATATTAAATATCTTTGATATATTTTTTTTAAATAATTATTTGTTTAAGTTTAAAAATATAAGTAAATAAAATTACACTGGGGATTTTTTTTCTACTGTAATGAGTCAGTAGTTTTTTATTTTGAGATGTTTTTTATAATTTATTCTTTAGTTATGATTCAAGACTTATTAAATATTATTTATACAATTAAAATGTAAATTAAAATCACACGTTTACTTGGGTGAATAGCTTGCACACATTCCTTATATCTGACGCGTCTTAATATCTTCTGTGTGGAGCTTTTGATTTAATTATATGATAAATCGGTTAACAACTTTATGTAAAAATGCTCAAAATGTTTTATGCAATATATATGCATCTATATTAATGGTAGAAATTTTGTCGATTGGGAAAGCATAGACGTTTATACTAAATATTCTGATTTTTATATTTATTATTTATTAATACTATTTAATAATAATAAAAATTAAATATTTTATATTAAAAAAATAATAGTAGGTTAATGTATTTTATTGTATTGTATAACGTTGTTAAATTAAATTATGATATTTTATAAATCTTAATTGTTCTATAAAGTTTAATCCTCGAATAGATGAATTTTATAGAATTGTATTGTTTTTTTTTAATATTAAAATAATAATGAAATTCTAAAAAAATAATATTTAAGGTTTTGGTTAGTGTGAATGAAAACATAGCTACCTATTTTACTTCTAAAGTTTTTCTTGACATTCTATCAAATTTAATGAATTAAAAGTGCAATTTTTGGTTGTCTTATTTATACTATTGAATAATAAATTATTTTTTTGTAATTTTATTTTATTTATATCCTTATATTATACTATTATTATATTATTAAATCAACATACATTTTGGTCATTTCTCCGGCTTGTTTCTGTATACTTGTCTTATTCTTCCAATAAAATTAACTTATTTATTCAAACAACGAAAGTAACAGATATTTTACCATTTTTATTGATTTTAAATTTAATATTTAGATTAATTGATTTAAAATTGTCGAAAGTAAGTTGGTAAGCACTATAAACAAATTTCACGACGTACACTTATAGGATTTACAATATATACTAGTTGTAAAAAATATTATGCTTCCATTCATCCCGAAGGATTCCCCCACTCCAAGCGTAAAATAATAAACTCATACAATATTTTCTATGAATATTATTACTACTCTGATAACACGTGATAACTTTAATTCATTACACTGGATTACGGTTCGTACTAATGACAAATTTATTGCAAATTGTGATATTAATGGTTTGTACAATTTAAATAGCGGATCACAAAATAAATAAATTATTAGTTTATTAACGGTATTTAACATTAATAATTAATTTTTACCGTTTTTTTAAAGGTTATAATAAATTTATAACCTTGTAATTATTATTAGTACGTATAGACTAATATGATATTAAATTATATCTAAATAATAATTTTATATACTTTACATATGTTATATATTTTTTAATTAAAAAAAAAATATCATAAAAAGATGTAAGTATTTAGATATTTTTGACAATTAGCATCCATGCCTATAAATATAATATAAACAATGTTTTTTTTTATATGATATAAATGTTAAAAATTTTATTAAATACATTATAAATATTCAAGAAAGTTTAATATAATTTAGTATTTCTCTTAAAATTATAATTATGATAAAAAATTAGTTTAAAAACTGTATACATTTTAAGTAGTTACTTATTTTTGAATAATGATAAGGCTTATCGATGAAATGTTTAATAAAACATGTGAATTTTATAATTAATTAGTAATCGTTACTCAAATTTAATTAAATTATGTGGACTTCGTGAATTAATAAATATAATAATAACTAAAAACTGATCATTATGTTTTCATTTGGATAAAAATATAAAACTTTAAATAGCCACAAAATAAACATTTTATTATTCTTCATTGATAATAAGTAAATAAATTAAACATAATAAGTGTCAAATAATTTTAATATATGTACTTACTTATCTACAGTAAAAATAATAATGATAAAATTTGTACACAAACTTATATTCAACGTTTCAGTAGGTATTGAAAAGTATTATTATTTATTCATATATAAATATAATTGAATTAATTAAAATTAACCACGATGCCTAATTGGTACTATTAAATATATTATTAGTCATCTGGGACTACGAAGATACATATTATACCTTATTCGTAGTAGAAGATATAGGTGAAATAAATGTCATCGTTTATTCATTTGAAAATGGTCAAGTACAACCGGAAAATGGAGGTTTGGTACAAAATTCTGCTTCAATTGACAATCAAGGACAGCGCGTACCTCCTCTCACTGGGGCCTTATAATCGTATTCACAATTGGAGTTGCGCGGTTTTTATTTTTGTCAGGACGAAGGGTCACAATATAAACGGCTAATATCTCAGATATATTTAATATTCAACAATGTTAAAGCACAATTCTATGGTATAATGATGGATAACGCCGATCAAAACAGAAAAGTACACACGTGACGTTCCACAAGTTAAAAAAAGGTTAAAGTTAAAGTATTTTTATAATTTATACATTATTATATTTATATAATAGTTATAATAGTTTTATAAAGAAAAAAGTGTGAGTCGCATAAAAGTCATTAAGAAAGGACGAGTCAAAATTGAAGCTATAAAATTCACACATAACGTAATGTCAAAGAAAATGATATTTTTTTATTTAATACTTAAAATAATGATCGAATTACAATAAATCGTAAAATTAAATCACAATAACAAAACCGACATAACAATAATACACTAATAAATAATAATAATATAATTATTCCGTACAAATTTTGAACCATATACCCGAAAACTAGATAATACAAATATGAATTAAATTGAATACATAATAAATATAATATAATTATGATAGCTGATATCGTTATTAGCACCTAAAAAAAATCAAATTAAGTCACCATCGAACATATAATATGTAGTATGTATATATGAGCAACACAATTGAGGAAATACGTTTTTATCTATAATATTTGGCAAATCGATATTACATTAATATGTCTTATAAAATATTATTATTATATATATTGTATTATATTATATCATAATAATACATATATATAAATATATACTATGTTTAATGATAATGATAATAATAATAATAATAATAATAATAATACAATAATGAGTACAATTTAAAACTAAAAACGAACTAACGTTTTATACAACAAGAACAGAATGTCTAAAATGATAGTTAAAAAAAATTATTATCGTCGAAACGATATCATGTTATTGTTTGAAAAAGACTCTATCGCAAAGAGATGTCACGGCGACTATCAGTTATTGTTTGAATTCGGCAATCCAATTACGACGATCTTTCCGTCTCTCAGCGGCGCCAACAAGTGTGTGTTGCCCGGCGTCGCCACCACCGTTTGGATTGGAACGTGCAGAGGGACATCGTAGACCGGATGCAAGCTGTAAAATAAATTCGAAGGTTTACGTTAAAATAATAGGAAAAAAATATTATTTTATTCATTAAGTAATATCTTCTGCTGAATGATGTAAACGCCGTCTTAACGTTAAATCATTTATGTATATATTTTTTTAAATTATTATTTTGTTAATTACTTTGTACGATGTTTTTTTATTCGTTTTGATAAGTTTTAAGTAGTAGATAGTTTAATTGAACACATAATATACTTAGGTAATCTACGTATAGTTATAATTAATAATATGATATTATATACATAGGTATATTTAAAAGCAACAACATTTTCGTTGAGTTATGGATCATTAATAGGAGCTTAACTTAAAACTAAAAACACAATAAACTTAACGTTTATCGTTAGTTTTCACTTCATAAAATGTGTCATTCATTAAAGTTTACAGCAAAGGACCACATTTGAGCGTTTCAAACTTGCTTACCTCTCTAAACTGTGTTCCTCATAATATATACAATAAATACAAATTTGTATTGTTTGAAAACTGAAGTGTACAATACCGTAAAAAAATCTATCATGTAAACACTAAACTTCGATAAAATTAGCTTCAAAGACTAGATAATATGTTTTTTTTTTTTTTTACCAAATTGTGCTTGATACACTTATCGGGTCCGTTCGCGTCACTTGTGTTATGGAGGTATCATAAATCATTGTCTACATAATTTATTAATTATAATATTATGTTCTATTAAATTGTTTTAAATCTTTTACTATTTTTAAATTGACGTGGTTTTTGAAATCGTAGAATTTATGATAATGATTTAACTAACATTTTGTTTATGTAAAAACCATGTTAAACGAATCAAAGGGATTTTATATGTACCTATGTATATAATATCAATAATAATTAATTATACGCCGTAGTTAGTAATAACTACTTTTTCAGTTTGAGATGTTAGTTTGGTTCATGACACTTTACATGGCGTTTTAGTTAATTATTTCAATTTGAATCTACATCTAGATTAGAATAGAGAGGTTAAAAAAATATTTTTTATTGTTTGCTTTGGTGTAATATAAATGTATTATTTAACAGTTGTGCATTTAATATTAAAGTATCTACATGTTACTTTAAGACTAATTATATCTCATTATAATATTTATTATGAATTGTTCTTATACAACTTAAATTTAATTAAAGTGAATAGTTTAGCTTTGCAATTGTGTAATATTGTAATAAATTATTCAATAATAAATAAACACCAATCATAAAATTCTTAAAAAAAAAAAAAAAAAAAAAAAAAACATTATCATGTGTAAAAACCTAAACTGTACTTTTAAAATAGTATGAACTCAAACTGGCTGAAAAAAACTAATTTGTTAACTGGTGTAACTGAGTGAATAAATAATTTAAATAACATTTTTCTTAAATTTTCATTATAATTGCCTATACTTTACCCCTTAAAGACAATTACTGTTATGATCCAACTACAAATTAAAACATTTTTAATAAAATTTTTATTGAAAATTATCTTTTGAGAGAATATAATTTATATAATTTTTAGTTTTTGAGATAATAATACCCTAGGTCTATTGTCATAAATTTATTTTTGTTTTAAAATTTATTTTCCACTAAAGTATATAAATTAAATAATTTAGTATAACCGAAATTTAAATTTAAATCAAGCGGTGTTGTAACACATATAGTTTTGAAATTTTGTGTGTGCGTTTTTTAACATTCTTATAATACTCACCCTAATAGTCTACTTAGCGTTAGATCTCCTGCATCATCGACCACCACTAAACAATCACCTATAGTTGTAATACCAGTTACTTGAGCTGCAACGTATTTTGAACCCAAATTGTTACCATTACAGCTAAATACATGGACGGAATGGTTTTTCTAAAAACAATAAAGCCATTAAAATATATTTTAAATTATCAAAATATATTAGTATACTTATACACGATTACATGTGTAAGTATAGTTACATAAAAGTTTTGATAAATTGATACTTCTATCGTACTTTATCTTTAGCTGAAAAAGCGATATGTCCTTGAAATGAAATTGTCACGAATGTTATGATGGACGGAGGGGAAACACATCCTAGAGGGGTGAGACAGTGTACCAAAAGCCCTTGATGTATGCTGTATACATTAACGGTGCCATCTTGTGAACCAGAAACGGCCATATCTAGTTCCGTAGCAATCGCTACACAGATGATGGGTAAATCATGGCCGAGAAGCGTTTGGAATGGTTTGGGATTTGTATTGTTTGCATTTGAAACGTCCCACACGACCGAAGTACAGTCCCTCGAGCCACTTATCATGTACCATCCACAGGAGTCTAGTGCCAAGCATGTCACTACGTCTGAAAAAGAAAAATTAAAACATCGATTATACGTCTATGTATTATTATAACGATTTTTGTTAAACCGCCATTCGTAATATGTTTACCAAAGTGTCTTATGACAGAAGAAACGTATTTATTTTTTGAAAAACTAAACGTTTTCACGCTATAGTCCCAATGGCCGGCGGTGAATAAATATTTGGCGTCGTGAGATACGGCAAACAAGTGGCTGTTCATTTCAATGGACGGATGATATGAGGAAGATCTCATTGGATATGCACTTGGGTCTTTT